ACCACCCCACCCCACCCCCCCCTTTTTCCTCGGGGCAAGGGGGAAACCCCCAGATGCTGCAGCCCCTCTCCGCAGGAATCGGTCCATAACGGGGCCGGCCACGTTCCCTCCTTAGGGGTTTGGTTTTGGGGGTTTTTTGGGTTTTTGTTTTAGTTATTCTGGATTTGTTTCGTTAACTCTGGACGCAGCACACGCTGCCCCCGGGGAGACCGGCGGTTGGCAGCTGGGGCGTCCGTCTGGGTCGGATTCCCTGCGGGGTGCGATTGCTGGCGATACACGGGGCCCTCGCTGCTTGAGAGAGCGCAGCTGGGAGCAGTGTGTGTCTGGTCACGCTTTTCTCTGTCCCCGGGCTTCCAGGCTCTTCCCCAGGCCCCCTCGGGTGGGGATTCGCGGGGCAGACAGGTACATTAAAACTAGGAATGGGAAACAGCCGATCCCAGGGGTGCGCTGAGCCTGCGGTGATGAGGACAGTTAAAATGAGCCTGAATGTGGATTTTTAGACCCCCAAGCCAGCCCCCTCCCTTTGTCCTGGCAGCGGGGACAAGGAGCATAGTAACGTCGCCGCTGCTGTTGCGGACCGGGACGCTGCAGCGGAGGGGGTGTCACTCGGCAGTGCGCAGGGGTGGAAAGAGAGGCCGGGAGCCTTGAATCCCGCTGCTCCCCGCTGGAGGAGGAGGACTCCCCGCTGCTGCCTCCGAACTTTTCAACCATCCCTGTGCTTGCTGTTTGCAGCGTCAACCCCACAAACGTCACCTGAACGCACAGCCACCGGCACTCCTTCGAAGCCTGAGTGGGTGTCGGTGGGACGCCCAGCCCAGAGCAGGTCCAGCTCTGCCTCCCCTCATCTCCCTCCACCTCCTGGTGATTTCTCTGGTTTTGTCTCTTACAGATGGTGGAACGGAAACTCCTTGTTCTTTTTGGCAGCCAAACTGGGACGGCTCAAGACACAGCCGAGAGAATTGGCAGAGAAGCCAAGCGACGGCACTTCCAGTGCAGAGTGGAGGCGCTGGACAGCTATGACGTGGTGAGTGGTGACGCAGAGGGGTGCTCCAGGCAATTCTGGTCTTGCTCGATCTTCACCAACCCCATTTCTGGCACTCGGTCATCCTCCACCCTTCCTGTGACCTGCTGTATTTCACCAGACCCTGGCTCTGTGCCCTTCCTGAGGGCAGCTTGTGCTTAACTCAGCTGAAAACATGTGAAAACTGAGCAATGACTCTTGGGATAGAGTTTGTGTTAGATGACAGATGCTCAGCCGTACCCTGCAAGGCGAGGAGCACCAAGGAGCCGATGCTGCAGGCAGCGTGTGGGCAGCTGATGCTGCTGCAGTGCCTGTAGAGGAGGTCGTGCCACGCGCGGCTGCGGGCTTTGTTCCGAGTGTGTCTGTCCGTGGACTCGATGTGGTGTTGGCAGCCATGTCGGGACAGCCGGGACACGTGTTTGTAGGCTGCTGACCTGAATGTGCCTTTCCATGTTTGTGCCCACAGGCCAACCTCATCAATGAGCTGTTGGTGGTATTTGTGTGTGCAACCACCGGCCAGGGTGACCCACCTGACAACATGAAGGTAGGACGTGCTCCTGTCCGTGTTGCTTTAATATTCCTCGTCCAGTGACTGGATTTTTCTCTTGAAGCAGCTTGAGCAATGGTTGTTTTTGGAGTGGGGAGCTTTGGAGCAGCACCAGTCACATCTCATGTTACTGATGGGACACGGGCAGGGAGCTGGTGAGGTTTCAACAGCTTAACAGCTGAGAGGGGCCCCGCCATCGCAAGAGCCACGGGTTTGTGGAGGGCTCACAGAGCACCGTCCTCTGGGCACGTAGCAGTGGTGGCTACTTTCATGGGTCACCTCTGCAGAAGGCTGTGCTCCCCGCTCTGTTGGGACTCAGTGGAGGGCAGGAGGGACCCGGTGGGTGGGCGAGAAACAGGCAGGCAGGGAAGGCTTCCTTGGCAGGAGTGTGACTCCCCGGCCGTGTCCTTTGTAGATGTTCTGGCGGTTTCTATTCCGGAAGAACCTGCCACCCGGTTCCCTCTGCCAGCTGGACTATGCCGTGCTGGGCCTTGGCGACTCCTCCTATCCCAAGTAACCAGCTCTGCGGCTCCTTGCCTGCCCGTGACAGCTGCTCCTCACAGCTCTGGCTGCAGGCGAGACCAGAGTGGCTGGAGAATGAAGGGGCAAGGGGAGACAGAGCCTGACTCTAGAGCAGCAGCTCAGATGAAACGTAATTCACACCAGCTTTAAAAATCCTTGCTCTACCAGCCCGCGTCCCTCCTAACCCCCAGGAGCTGGGCTTCTCCCCATTTCTTTCCTCCCGGCCTCTTCAAGCAGATGCTTTGCTGCAGTGTGTCAGACATCATTTTTCAGTCAGTTATTACAGCCACGCAGTTCTCTGAATTGCAGGAAAGCCTGCGCCACAGCAATTTCAGGGGACATGAAATACAGAATTTTAGGAGGCAGCCAGCCCCGTTGGTCCCAGTTCTCTCCCAAAAGATTGTTCCCATGTGCCCGAAAGAGCTGTAGTGGGAGGGATGGGAGTGTGCCTGAGCTCCGTGGGCCAGTGAGGGGCTAGAGGGAAGGAAGTGTTTCTCTGCCCGGGCAGGCAGCACAAGCTGCCCTGAAGGGAAGCCTGACCTCCCCGAGTCCCTTCTGGGAAGCTGGGCACAGCCTGTGTGGCCC